CGTCGTTTGTTCAGTTTGATGTTTTGAAGGCTGTGAGATCTTGTGCTGGATGTATCTGGATGTGCTATGTTCAGGGGTGTTCAGGGCGCTGGGTGCTGGGTGCTACTCATCAATTTGCACATCCACATTTCGCCACTATCGAGAACTTTGGCCGCCTGAGGAGTGCTTCAAGAATGAACGGAAAGGGACATTGAATTGGATAGTTAGGGATAGTTAGGGATTCGGATAGTTGGGGATGGTTGATTAATTTTGCATCCTGACCATTCCCATGTTCTCATGACTCTATCGCTTTGAGCCAGTTTGGCGAATCGGCGGTCTAAATCTCAGTCCCCCTTTAACGTGCCGAACATTTTTGCCTTCTGGGAGACATGAAAAAACTTAACACATCTTAAAGCAAGGTCCTAAGGTAAGTGATGGTAAGTGTTTAGTTAAACACCGTTGGCTTCAAACGATTTCAACACCTGGCTAACCGGGCTAACCATGTTCTCCTGTGGGAATTTGGATGTGCCCATGCCCTCCCCACCTCAAAGCGGCCATTTTACACTTGTCGCCATTTGTCGCTACGATGTGCGACCACACATCCCATGTGCTTTGCAATTTTTCTGTTCTTTGGCAAACACATTGAGTCCAGCAATATGTTGAGAAATGTCGAGAATTGGCCGCGCGATGTTGCTGCAGATTTTGCAGTTGTGGCCATGCGATGCCGAGTGGCACTGGCATCAACATGACCTAAGACATCTGTGGCGAGGCAAATTAGGCAAACGGCAGAGTCTCGCATCCATTCCCCGTTTCAGCCAGCTCCAAGCGCCGTTGAAGGACCTACAAAAAAGATTCATATTGTATCGCAAATATCTGTCTTCCCTAAAACTCATGCTGCATCGCACAAGTTGTGTGGTTGTGCTCTTTGAACCATCAACTAGAAAAACAAATGCTGTGCGAGTTCAGGGTTTTCAGAAAACTCTGAAGCCCTTAGGTTTAAAAACCAGCCGGAAGAATGTCTTTGATCCTTCACACTTGATCACGTTGACAAACTGCCCAGTCTGCCACGCGTGGAAATCATAGCAGCTGTGTATTTGGGAAGTTTAATGCCAACTCAGGTGCCCATTGAGATATTGCAACACGGCGGGACAGCGGTTGGAGTCAAGGTGGACTCAAGTTGGACAAGGTGGGGACTTGGAGGAACACGTCTTTGGCAATTTTGATACTTTTATTGCAATTTTGAAGATGCGAAAGCGGAACATCCAATCTCTGAAATTGAACTTCGACGTTAAAAGAACTCATAGACTCAACAATTGACTGCAGTGGCTGGTCCGCGGTGGAATTGTTGTACCGCAAAGGCGCACATGCTGATGCCCTGCCAAAAGCCTTGTCAAAACCATGCTGAATTAAGCGAATTGAGCCAACGATGGACATTTGGAGCTGTACTGAGACGACCAAATCCGAGATTAGTCACATCGAGTCGGTGACAGAACCCGGAAGAACCCAATGGCCAACACGGCCAACGTGCTATCCACAGGTGACGGCCCGAACGTGCCCAGACTCTGAATACTTGATATGTTTTTCTTGTGATTGATCTGGATCCAGCTAGAACCCTCGTACTGTGGCAACTGTGGAAACTTGTTCTTGTGACACTTGTGCTTTATCGATTTATCAATATGTTGACTTTTTTGATTTGCCAATTGGCTTTCCTGATGTCCCGTGTGGTGCATTCCGCATGGAACTGTCACAGTTGGAAAAAGAGACCTTGTCGGATTTAGGGTATCAAAACCTGCACACATGGACAAATGTAATGCCTGCATCCGGATTGTAACCGAAACATGTGCCGATCCTTTTTCAGAATTGCACTTCGAGTTCTTTTAATTAAGAGACATGGTGAAACATGGAACCAGGAGTTCTGGTATGGTTTTCTGATGCAGCTGCCAGTCTGCTTCATCTTAAATGCAGCTAGAACCCTCGTACCGGAAATGTGGCAACTTGGCTTGTGCTTTATCAATTTATCAATATGCTGACTTTTTTTGATTTGCCAATTGGCTTTCCTGATGTCCCGTGTGGTGCATTCCGCATGGAACTGTCACAGTTGGAAAAAGAGACCTTGTCGGATTTAGGGTATCAAAACCTGCACACATGGACAAATGTAATGCCTGCATCCGGATTGTAACCGAAACATGTGCCGATCCTTTTTCAGAATTGCACTTCGAGTTCTTTTAATTAAGAGACATGGTGAAACATGGAACCAGGAGTTCTGGTATGGTTTTCTGATGCAGCTGCCAGTCTGCTTCATCTTAAATGCAGCTAGAACCCTCGTACCGGAAATGTGGCAACTTGGCTTGTGCTTTATCAATTTATCAATATGCTGACTTTTTTTGATTTGCCAATTGGCTTTCCTGATGTCCCGTGTGGTGCATTCCGCATGGAACTGTCACAGTTGGAAAAAGAGACCTTGTCGGATTTAGGGTATCAAAACCTGCACACATGGACGAATGTAATGCCTGCATCCGGATTGTAACCGAAACATGTGCCGATCTTTTTTCAGAATTGCACTTCGAGTTCTTTCAATTAAGAGGCCTGGTGAAACATGGAACCAGGACTTCTGGTATGGTTTCCTGATGCAGCTGCAAATGCGACATGATTGATCTTATTGCAGCTAGAACCCTTCTACGGGACATGTGGCAACTTGGCTTGTGCTTTATCAATTTATCAATATGCTGACTTTTTTGATTTGCCAATTGGCTTTCCTGATGTCCCGTGTGGTGCATTCCGCATGGAACTGTCACAGTTGGAAAAAGAGACTTTGTCGGATTTAGGGTATCAAAACCTGTACACATGGTCGAATGCAATGCCTGCATCCGGATTGTAACCGAAACATGTGCCGATCTTTTTTCAGAATTGCACTTCGAGTTCTTTCAATTAAGAGGCCTGGTGAAACATGGAACCAGGACTTCTGGTATGGTTTCCTGATGCAGCTGCAAATGCGACATGATTGATCTTATTGCAGCTAGAACCCTTCTACGGGACATGTGGCAACTTGGCTTGTGCTTTATCAATTTATCAATATGCTGACTTTTTTGATTTGCCAATTGGCTTTCCTGATGTCCCGTGTGGTGCATTCCGCATGGAAACGTCACACTTGGGTTGTAAGCAACACCGGGTAAGCAAAAGTTTCTTTGATGTAAACAGGCGCGATCATTGTCTTGTCTCCATGTAAACAGGCAACAGGTTGCCTACATATCATTTATAAACTAAACAAAGGATTATCTTGCAGAAGAGTTCAAACGCGATTTCACACTTGCAGGCCGACCCAGCGCCCACATGCGTCGCACCTGAACCTGACCTTGCTGAGCCCTCCTTTCGATCGCTTTCCGATAGCTTTGTCCTTACCCCTTGCACAAACACACCAAATGCAGCTTGACTTTCAATGATGCTTTGCTTTGGCCCAGGCATCTTTGGCTCTGGATCGCAAACACGAGACATCAGCTTGATCATTGACAATATTGACAGTCATTACCTGGCCGAGATTGAGAACAACCTGTGCTTCTGCACAACTCTGAATGCAGTCTGCATGGCGGAATGGATGTTGACCACATGGGTGCTTGTCCAGCGCCGGTGCAGTACGTGTCATTCATGGTGTGGCAGCGAAGTCGCTGGGAGCAAGAAACTACGGAAACGCATAGTCAAGCATTGCACAAAGGATTGGGCAGGCATCACTCGCACTAGCGCCGTGACTTGGTAGCAACAAATGGACAGCACATCTGACACATCTACAACATTCGCTTGATTCAAGCTCCATCGTTGGTCACAGGTTCAAGTTCAAGTTCTCCCTTCAATCCAGCCCACTCGGACTGGTACCAGATCTTGGTGATTGCAGTCATTGAAGCTAGATCTGCAGAGTTCGTGAGTACGTCGTGTTGCTTGGGAATAGCTATGAGCCTATGAACGCCCTGGTGTTTAGCATGTAAACCACTGGCGTTGAATGGCATGGACCTCTTTGTCCTAGCTTTTTCTCTGCAGTTACAGCCCATCGCTTCAGGGTTCTTTCAGCAAAGGTTCACAAGCAGGAGTCTGCTACCGCATTCTCTTCCAAGCGGATAATCCATTGCAAGAGATGAAGCGTTATTTGACTTCTTGCCTTTTGACCCTTTAGGACGTGGTGACATGACAAGGAATCACACATGTATCAGCTGAAGGTTTATCGTTGACGACGTTCAAGCAGGTCCCACTATGCTGCCTATGGGTAAAACCCCGCATCCAACTGAACCTTTTCCATGCAGGACATCTGGCACACCCTTCCAAGCTCAATGCAAGAACTGTTGACATCTTTCCTACGTTACCGGCGCCGTAGCTGTGGCGGAAGTTGTTGGAGCACTCTCAATGCAGAATCTATGCGGGGCATGTGTTGGGCTGTCAAAATTCACCCGGTTCATCTGCCTGGCCATTCCAAGACTAGTTGAGCTCTAGCCAAGGGCTGTGGATCGCCTGTATGCTGTGCCTAACATGATCCTTGCCGCGAACGATCGTCGATACCGGCTAAAGATGCACAAACGGTCACCGAAGCCATGCTTTGAATCTGCTTGGAGAGATTGGACTACGACCGCGCTTTGTCGCCAACAGTATGCATGTTGCCGACAGGTGTGAGAACATTGAGACAGCAGTGGCAAAGTGATGTTCAAACACAAACATCCCGCCCGAATCATTGAAAGCTTGACTGCACTTGGCACTGCACTTGGCACTGCACTTGGCATGCAAGTGTAAAGGACCCGCCCACATGCGCCGCACCTGAACCTGACCTTGCTGAGCCCTCCTTTCGATCGCTTTCCGATAGCTTTGTCCTTACCCCTTGCACAAACACACCAAATGCAGCTTGACTTTCAATGATGCTTTGCTTTGGCCCAGGCATCTTTGGCTCTGGATCGCAAACACGAGACATCAGCTTGATCATTGACAATATTGACAGTCATTACCTGGCCGAGATTGAGAACAACCTGTGCTTCTGCACAACTCTG